CCCCGACCTGTACATCTGGTACATTTACAATCAAAACTGATTTCTGGTACTTTTCCTGTTGCAGTTTGTTCTGTGCTACCAGTTAAAGGCATTTCCCTTTTACTTGGTAATGATATTGCAGGTGGTAAAGTAACACCATCCCTAGAAGTATTAGATGTCCCCTGCTCCCTTCCTAAGGAGGAAGATGCAACACAGACTACTGTCTCTACTTCCTGTGTGCTTACCAGGGCTCAAAAATTGAAGGGAATCTCAGAGGAAAATGTTGACATGTCTGACAGTGTACTTATGTCAATCCTTTTAGATGAGAAAAAACCACAGCTTAAAACGCAGGTGCCTGCAGTCCACCAAGGGACACCTGATGTGCTACAAGATGCTGTTGGTCATTCTTCTTCAATAACACGCTCACAGCTTTGTGCAGCTCAGAAGGTGGTTTCAGCACCAAAAAGGTGTTTCTCGAGTGTGGTAAGTGCTAACAAAGCCAGAGTTGAACCAGTGTCGTTCTATGGTCAGTGCTGCCACAGCTACCCCACCTCTCAGATTACTGGTAACCCTGACAAGGTTACTCCTGTTCACAATTCCATTTCTTACCCAACTCCACTGCAACCTGACCCAGAAATGTTTAAGATGTGTTGCTGGAAAGTCAAAATAAAAGCCTTTCGCCATTTCTTTGGGATGGCTAGTATTTACAGGAATATCTGTAGAATATTAACTGTTGTCCTCCTTCTTACTATGCTGAACCTAAATGTAAACCTCAATTGGACTTCTGAGAATCAGCATTCGTTACGAAATATTAAATCTCTTTTGTCTCATCCACTTGTTCTCTCTTCTCCAAACATGTCTAGGGCATTTAAAGTTGAGGTGGATGATAGAGCTGTATTTTTACAGGAAGGTGGGGACGGAGCTGATCATCCCGTCTGTTATTTTTCCCGTAAATTTACACCCAGCCAACTAAATTACTCCATCATTGAGAAAGAAACTCTGGTCTTGCTACTTGCACTTCAACACTTTGAGGTTTACCTAGAGTCTAGTCCTGTGCCAATCATAGTGTACACCGACCACAACCCCCTTGTTTTTCTTTCTCGCATGTACAACCACAACCAGAGACTCATGCGGTGGGCTTTACTGGTACAAGATTACCATCTTGAAATCAAACATAAGAAAGGTGCAGACAACTTCTTAGCAGATGCTTTATCTAGAGTGTAGCTTATATAGTTAC